CACCTTTGTGACCACTTTTAATAATCTGTTGCTGTTGCAGGTTCCCTCTGAAGTCACTTTTCCATTGAGTTCTTCTGATGAACTCATTACAACATACTGCCTACACTAAGGTATGCACAGCCCCAGTTCTGTGTAGGGAGAATGCAAAACAACAAACTTTCTGGGATCCGACTTTCTGGGGCTTTGATTGTAGTATAAGATTTGGAAGGAACAATTGTTTACTAAGAACTGTCTCCCCACCCCCACAGACAAGGAAGCAAAGACAGAGAAGGGCAGGGGAGGAAGAAGTGCCCCAGGAAGTAGTCCAGGCACTGGCGATGCCCAGGGAGGGGCAATATCCAGGTGGGGGTGGCTTTTCTTTTCCAGGTGGCTTTCAGTTCACCCCTGACTTTGGATGGCATGCTTTTGGAGGCCAAAAGGTACAGAATACCCTCTTGACTTGAATCCCTGCAGATTCCCCTGTGGCAGTGTGCACCTCCATCCTACGGTGGGCAAGGCATCTGGGCCGGGCATGCCAGGCACATGGCAGCAGAGTGGGCTCCTTCCCGGCTCCTACCCGCAGCTACCTGAGTCCACACCTGGCCGAACTACTGTACCATGTTGTCAGGACCTGTGGCTTCACCAGAGTCAAGTTGGGTCTTCTTGCTCTCCAGTCTAAATGCAGGGAGACATTGGAAATTGGCTCTCAGGTATTTTGCAATACACAAGATGTTCTTATCCACTAGTCACCCTGCTGGCAATTGATGTCAAAACTTCTTCCTATCTGAAACTTTGTGCCCTTTGACCCACAACTCCCCATGCCCTCCCTCTGCCACCCCCCAGGCTCTGGTCACCATCAATCCACCTTCTACTTCTGAGGTCAACACATCAGTGACATCATGCAGTATCTCTCCTTTGGAGGTAATGGATATGCCAATAAGCTTGATTTCATCATTCCAACGGTTATACCTATCTCTAAACGTCATGTTGTATCCCATAAATGTACGCAATTAGGATTCGTCAATTAAAAATAATATGAATAAATACCTAAATCAAATATATGCAGGAAGTACTACTTAACTACCCCACATACTTGGTCAGCCCCAGCAGGTCACTGGACGCATCGGCGCCCCTGGTTTCTCCCTTTCTGGTGTGTCTTTGACAGGTAGGCTGCAGGATCAAACCTCCTTGTGGCCCTCTGCTGGTCCTGGCTCTTTTCCCAGGCACAGGGGCTTCTGTGGTGGTCTTCTGACCCGACTCCTGATCCTCCTCAGGCTACAGAAGTTCAAAAGTAAAAAAGGTCAAGGTGGGAAAGGCTGGTTCACTTCTGAAGGTAGACTGAACTTTGGGGGATGGGGAAGGACTGATGGGACCCCAGAAGCCAGGGGGCTGCATTCTGGTGGTGAAGACCTCTCCCTGCACTTTTCTGGATCCTGAAATTAGATACATGGCCATACCTACAGGGAATTCCTAATACGAGTTCCTCTTCGTGCCCTTCCTTGGATCTGCCTCCTGTGAGATCTCATTTCCTGACTGATGCTATCTCTCCTATTGCTTTGTGACTGGGGGTCTTAACCTAGGACTTCCTTGCCATTGACTGATAGGTCTTTAGAGAAGCCCTGAAACCATCTGGGAAAGAGTCAGTGTGTAATTCTGTGTGCCTTTCTCACAAGGATGCTCTAAGTCCCACGAGATTTAAAAGGAGTTTGTGACATAAAAAGGTGGAGTACTTGTGGGGCTTGGTGGCTCAAGCCTGTAATCCCAGCAATTTGGGAGGCTGAGATGAGGGGATTGCCTGAGCCCATGGGTTCGAGAACAGCCTGGGCACTTTGGTGAGACTTCATGTTGACAATCAATCAAAAAATTAGCCGGGCATGGTAGTGCAAGCCTATGGTTCTGGCTACTTGGAAGGCTGAGTCGGAAGAATCACCTGAGCCCAGCAGGTAGACGCTGGGGTGGCCGTGAGCGTGCCACTGCACTACAGCCTGACAGAGTGAGACTCAGACTCAAAAAAAAAAAAAAAAAAAAAAAAAATGGTGGAGAACCACTAGCATTCTCGGCCAGTGCTTCTCAAGCATCAAATGTGCACATGAACTAGCTATGTTTTATTAAAATGGAGATTCAGCAGCTCTGGGCTGAGACTTGTTGCTGCTGGTCTCGCGACAGCACTTTGTAACAAGAAACTAGGGTGTGGTCAGCATGTGCTTGTGTACGCTGGCATGGTGCTCACTGCCCTGCAGGTAGACAGCAGGTTTCTGGACAGCAAGGGCACTGCTAACACTACTTGGCTTTCTCCCAGGTAAGAACTAATAGAAAAAGAGCCCACTGTTGAACCTGACAGGTATTCCACAGATATTAGTCACAACTGGACTTCTAAGGTTACCACCAATTTTTCAAGGCTAAATCCTTCCAAAATTCAGAGCAAAATCTCAAAAAACCCTAAAACCCTCCAGAAACAAAACTTTTTCCTCCTTTCCAACACATTGAAATCCAAATCTAAAAACCATCATATTTGGAAGGATAATTTACTATATGAAGGCTTTTTTTTTTTTTTTTGGTCTCAATGAAGATGTTCAGTACAAATAACCCGAGGCATCAGAGGAAAAGGGATAAATACAGTCAGCACCACCAGGCCCTTGAAGGGGCAGGTTCTGGATAAACTGTTCAGAGTCCAGAGGGAAGTCTTATTAAAAGCCAGAGGAGAGAAAGCTGCTAGAAGGCAAGAAATGGTATAGAAAAGTAAAAATGGGATTTTAAAATAAAATTGCTATTTTAAACAACCTGCCACTCTATAGCTGCACAAATTCTAAAAGAAATTATTTACCTAGTCATGTGGAAATAAAGTACTTTGAACAACAGCTAACAATGGAGCAAAGGAAAAAAACTGACATACAAGACACATGTATAAAGAATGTCTTTATGTGTGCAAAAAGAATTTTTCATGTGGTATTTTATAAATATATATATACACATACACACATATATTTGGGTTTATAAAATACCATATGTAATGAAAGCTATGCATAACTATTTATAAAAATACCTTTTTCTAAGCAGGCCAGTAACATTTAATATTTTTCAATAAATTAATATATAAAATATATACATATGTGCCAAATGGAACATATATTTTGAAATATGAACCCCAAGTAAAACGCTCAGGAATCCGAAGTAGACTCCAGGTACCTGCCAAAGGAAACTTTAGGTCAGCTGTCATTTGAAGAAAGGAAACAATGCCCGGGTCTCTTATCTTCACGGACTGTTTTGCTTGTCAAGCCTCTAACATCACTTCAGCGGAGTTTGGGATGTGACTTCCAACCTCATGGCCATCTGACCTGCCAACTGTTATTTTCTTTGAGGCTTTTCACACGCCACCCGAGGACTTGGCTTCCCAGATCACTTTGTGCCGGTTTCTTTCCACTTCACCGTCAGCCTCGGTTTACAACGTCGGTCAACGGGCATCCTGGGGACTTTCCAACGGACCCCGGGCTCGCGGTGGTGACCCCGTGCTGGCACGCTCTGGAAGGCCAACGTTCCCCGGAGGTCCTCTGCTTTGTGCCAGGATTTCCATCCAACCTCAGTGCCCCAGGACGGAGGCCCGGCCCGGAGCGCCCGACCGCCCGGGGTCCCAGCCCCCTCCCCAGGCTGGCTGTGCGGCCGGGACCTCACAGGCGGAAAACACCTCCCTTTCCTATCGCCCACGCCTTCCCCAGCCCGACGACTCGGGGAAGAGGAAGAGACGGAGACCAATTAAGAACATTAATTACCCAGGTTCACGCCCGTTCCCCCGGCGGAGGGGCGGGGCGCGCCGCGGCAGTGGCCGGGTGACCGGCGGGCGCAGGTGCCTCCGAGGGCGGAATTTTACGCTCCTGGGCCAGCAGCTGCGCCACTTGGCCTCGTCGCGCGTCTGGGGCAGCCGCCACCCGCTTGCCCCGGCTTTAGGCAAATCCTTTCGAAAGACCCCGAGGGAGAAGAATCGCCCCCCTCCCGGCGGAGAAAAACCTGCGGCGTCTGCAGTTCTCCGCGCGCCCCCTCGCTCAGCCGGGAGCCCCCGCGTCTCCACTGCGCCAAATCCGTTCTCCGGGTTTTGGCGGCAGCTCCGAGGGGAGCGAGCTGGAAACTGACAGAACCGACCCTCCTCCCCCCACCACCCGAGCCGGAACCGCGCGTGGCCGGGGGAGTCGCGGCCAGGGCGGGGTGGCGCGCTCAGGTGGCCCCGCTTTCCTGCGGGTCACCCGCCACCCCCCGCGCCGGATCCTCGCGCGACTAGGTGGGCTCAGTGGGACGGGAAGCGGTGGGCGCACGAGGTTTATGCGGTTGTCTAGGGTGCGGGTGGAGTCCTATTGTCCTCGGGCCCTCGGGCGGCGGTACCCGGGGTCCCTCTCTGAACCGAGCGTCCAGCGAGCTTCCTTTGTGCGGAGGGAGCCGAACGCGGCTTCTCCTTTGAGAGAACCCGCATCTTGGGGGCGACCCTGGGGAGGT